AACAAAATAAATAGATTGCTACGTGGTGGTGACCAAACACGGCATAATTATGGCAGAGATTATTATTGTCTCAAAATTTCAGATTCATAAAGATGAGGAACGATGTTTTGATTTTAAGCTAACTACAAGGTCCACGCCTAATAAATTAGTTTGAATGTTTAGTTAGTTTAAAGTGAATGGTTTGTTTAAAAAAAAATAAAAAATAAAGAGTCATAGCCATTGAATAAAAATCGGTGGTTGAAATAAAATTATTTAATTTAATCTAAATTTAGAAGTATCTAGTCATGAGTTTAATTATTAATTGTTGATGATCGTAATCCTTATTTGTAAGGGCAGTAAAATAATTATTTTTAATATGATTTTTTAATCAAAATATAATTTCATCTCGTAATCATTAAAATAAAAATTTAATTTTAATTTACATATATAATATAACTAGTATTTTAACATTTACAACATATAAGATAATTATTTTTTTATAATTAAAATTTATAATAAATAAATATTATTAAATATATAAATTTGTTACAATTAAAATTCGTAATAAATAAATATTTTAAATATAAAAAAATATATTTTAGATTTAGGATAAATGTTTTATTGTGATATTAAAAAGTTATTTTTAAATATTTCTAATTTCTCTTAAAAATATATTCAAATATTATTTAAAATAAATATGGAACGATATATTTGAAAGAGCTAAAATATTAAGAAAAATATTTTAAAATGTCAAAAATTCTTTAAAATATTCTCGTTAAATAATAATTATTATAAATGTTCTGATTCAAAATAATTATTTTAATTTATATAAAAGGAAACATATTTTTTTAAGTCATTGTTAAAAAGTAAATTAGTACATTTTGTTTTAATTATAAAAACATAAACATATTTTCTAATATATTAAATTTTTATGGAAAATTTTGATTTGCAGCAATTTGTCATTTCAAAACTTACTGATGTAATCATTTTGGAAATAATTATTTCAAGTATTTGGAGAGTATATCATTTGATGTAGACGCTGCTTAATCATTTAATTATATGAATATTTTAAAATAAAATTTAAATTTATGTTATTATTAATTAAATTAAATTAAATTATTTCTTTGACTCATCTTAACTTAATGGATTGATTAATTATTTTTTATAAAGACTGGAAATTATATATTTCTATAAATAAATAAGTTTTGTAATATTTTCTTTTAAACTTTCTCTACTTTACAAAGAAAATTAATATTTAAGTTTGTGCAATGTATAAATTAAATGTTTATTATGCATAACTAAAATTTATAATAAATTATATATAAAAATAAATATCATATTTAAATAAATAAATTATATCTAAAATTTATGAAAATAAATATTTTTAAATATATTGATTATGTTTTAAATTTATAATAAATAATTTATATGATAACACAATATTATTTTTATATATTGATAATTTATTTTAAAAATATTAAAATTTTATTCATAAATAATTATTACAAGTAAAAATTAAATTAAATAATAAGATAAAATAATTTCTAAAAATTTACTTATTTATGAAAAATTCTTAAAAATATTTTCGTGTTATATAATGATTCATATTTAATATATATGAGTTTATATAAATAAAAATATATATATATTTAATATTTTTAAAATATAAAAAATTAATATTTCTCATAAGAGACACGTCAGCAATATATTCTCTAACACACTCTTTTAAACATATTCTCTCTTATTAGTTAAAATTTATGGAAAAATCTAAAAATAGAGTGGGTTTCAAAATTTATTTAATGACTTTATTTTATAATTTTATAGTTTTCAATAAACTTTTACCCATAACTGAATGTGTTAAAAAAAGTGTGTTGCTGACCTTTCAACACTCCTATGTTATAAAAAGTGAAGAAGAAAAAAGTTAAAACAAGTTAAATAAAAAAAAATACTCCATGATGGAATAAAACTTTACTCAAAACATGAAGAGAATCTAAAATTGTTGTAAAATAAAAATTAGAAAATAACATTAGTTATCACATTCAGCTAAAGAAGTAAAGATATTAAAAAAACAAGTCAACGTATAAACTAACTTATTTATCATTATATATATTGTTATATCCTTTCCATATCTTTAAGTGTTTTGATTTTCTTCCTAAAATAATTAATGTTTTAGAATTTTAAAAAGTCCAATTAATGTTTTTTTAAAATATATTACTACTTAATATCTAAAATTAAGATGATTTTTTTTAATATAATTAAGAGTTAATGTACAACATTAGAGCATTTTAGTTGTAATATTAATGTAAGTTTTCATTTAATTATTGTCTTTTTAGCAATAATTGTATGTTGTACTGTTCTGTAGTGTTATCGAGGGACTCAATGAATTAAGAAACTTCTAAAGAATCTTTAAGTGGTTTAGAAAATTTATCTAAGTGGAGTTTTGATGTTACCTTAAAAGGAGAAGTATATAAGGTTTCTTTTTAAAATTGAGTTTCATAAATTTATTATTAAGAAATCTTAGAGATACAAGTTAAATAGAAAAATTATCGAGTATGGTTCTTCCTCTTTTGATTCTTCTTCTTCTCTTCCTCTTCCTTCTTCTTCTACTTTCTAGGCCTCCCTAGTGTGTAAGGATTGTGGTTAGTTGTTGATTCAAAGTCAGGTAGCTGAGAATCAAGGTAGTGCAGGTGCAGAGTTTGTGTTTACTCGAAGCTTGAAACCAAATTTCTTTTTCTTCCTTCTTCATCTCTTTGTTCATAGTTAAGGTAATGAGAACTTGTAAATTGTTTTGATGAGTGGTATAAGTTGCATGTGGTTTAATTATTATCAATGTTAATATGTTGATGGATTTTTGAATGACATGGTGAATGAGGGGCTAGTTTTGGGCGCTTTAAGCATGAAAGTATGTAAGATGATGATTTGATCTCTTCTATTGATTGCATGTTATCATTTTGGTATGAATTAAGTTGTTGTCGGTATATGTTGAACAATATAATTTGTGAATGATATTGATGGATCGTTACATCGTGTTATATAATGATTCATATTTAATATATATGAGTTTATATAAATAAAAATATATATATATTTAATATTTTTAAAATATAAAAAATTAATATTTCTCATAAGAGACACGTCAGCAATATATTCTCTAACACACTCTTTTAAACATATTCTCTCTTATTAGTTAAAATTTATGGAAAAATCTAAAAATAGAGTGGGTTTCAAAATTTATTTAATGACTTTATTTTATAATTTTATAGTTTTCAATAAACTTTTACCCATAACTGAATGTGTTAAAAAAAGTGTGTTGCTGACCTTTCAACACTCCTATGTTATAAAAAGTGAAGAAGAAAAAAGTTAAAACAAGTTAAATAAAAAAAAATACTCCATGATGGAATAAAACTTTACTCAAAACATGAAGAGAATCTAAAATTGTTGTAAAATAAAAATTAGAAAATAACATTAGTTATCACATTCAGCTAAAGAAGTAAAGATATTAAAAAAACAAGTCAACGTATAAACTAACTTATTTATCATTATATATATTGTTATATCCTTTCCATATCTTTAAGTGTTTTGATTTTCTTCCTAAAATAATTAATGTTTTAGAATTTTAAAAAGTCCAATTAATGTTTTTTTAAAATATATTACTACTTAATATCTAAAATTAAGATGATTTTTTTTAATATAATTAAGAGTTAATGTACAACATTAGAGCATTTTAGTTGTAATATTAATGTAAGTTTTCATTTAATTATTGTCTTTTTAGCAATAATTGTATGTTGTACTGTTCTGTAGTGTTATCGAGGGACTCAATGAATTAAGAAACTTCTAAAGAATCTTTAAGTGGTTTAGAAAATTTATCTAAGTGGAGTTTTGATGTTACCTTAAAAGGAGAAGTATATAAGGTTTCTTTTTAAAATTGAGTTTCATAAATTTATTATTAAGAAATCTTAGAGATACAAGTTAAATAGAAAAATTATCGAGTATGGTTCTTCCTCTTTTGATTCTTCTTCTTCTCTTCCTCTTCCTTCTTCTTCTACTTTCTAGGCCTCCCTAGTGTGTAAGGATTGTGGTTAGTTGTTGATTCAAAGTCAGGTAGCTGAGAATCAAGGTAGTGCAGGTGCAGAGTTTGTGTTTACTCGAAGCTTGAAACCAAATTTCTTTTTCTTCCTTCTTCATCTCTTTGTTCATAGTTAAGGTAATGAGAACTTGTAAATTGTTTTGATGAGTGGTATAAGTTGCATGTGGTTTAATTATTATCAATGTTAATATGTTGATGGATTTTTGAATGACATGGTGAATGAGGGGCTAGTTTTGGGCGCTTTAAGCATGAAAGTATGTAAGATGATGATTTGATCTCTTCTATTGATTGCATGTTATCATTTTGGTATGAATTAAGTTGTTGTCGGTATATGTTGAACAATATAATTTGTGAATGATATTGATGGATCGTTACATTAATAAAATATAATAATAATAATAATAATAATAATAATAATAATAATAATAATAACATATCTTTATTAAATGTTTTTTAATTTAATTGTATTAATCTTAAACAATTGGGTGTAAAAAGAAAAATGTTAAACAACTAAATACACGAGAATGAGGTAATACATATTATTGTTAAAAGGAAAATTAGACTTCCAAATTTGTAATTTAACCGGAGGGAGATCCCGAAACCGTGGGTCTACATATTTTTGTGGAAGAAAGAGAAAGAAATGAGATGCTAGCAATCCTAGGAGATTCCGTTACGTCACGATGAAACCGATACGTTGTCGTTCGGGTAAGACAAACCATTACAGAGTGGACGAGGGTATATCCGTCACACAACTATTACAAACCTTTTCCTTTTTCTTTTCTTCCACCATTAATTACTACTCTAGTACTCTCTCATTAAACGCCCCTCTTTTCACCTTCCACATCTTCTTCCTTTCTTTAATCCAGTTTAAATTCAATTAATAATTTTCCATAATCAATAATTATTTTGGTTAAAATTGAAAATAAAAATACACTCCCTCACTTGCCTCTCTGTTCTGTCTTTCTTTCTTTCTTTCCTCTTCTCTTCTGTGCTCTCTATGATTCCCACTCGTTTTCCCCAAACAGCACAAAAAGAGAAAACAAAAGCGAAAAAGTAGAAGAGAGAGAAACGAAATCCCAGAGAGACAAACCTCGCCACCGGAAAATGCACTGATTCCGCAACCTCCGCCGGGACAAACCACACTCACGCTCACAATATACAGAATGCGCGAGGCACTCGCCTGCGACCTCGCCAACGCCGCGCCGTCTCCTTCGCCGCCGGTTGTAGTGGCCGGACGGAGCCGCTCCCAGGGCTTCACGCGGCGGGTGACGCCGGCGGCGCTGCCGGCGGCGTCCGGATCCGCGGTGGAGCGCGTCCTCCCGAACGGCGACTTCTACGCCGGGAGCTTCTCCGGCAACGTCCCTCACGGATCGGGAAAATACCTCTGGACCGACGGGTGCATGTACGAGGGGGAGTGGAAGCGCGGAAAAGCCTCCGGGAAAGGAAAATTCTCGTGGCCTTCGGGCGCCACCTACGAGGGCGAGTTCAAATCTGGTCGAATGGAAGGCTTCGGAACCTTCGTCGGATCCGACGGCGACACCTACCGCGGCGCGTGGATTTCGGACAGGAAGCAGGGCTTCGGCCAGAAGCGCTACGCGAACGGTGATTTATACGAAGGTTGGTGGAAGCGCAACGTGCAGGACGGTCACGGCCGTTACGTCTGGCGAAACGGGAACGAGTACGTCGGGGAGTGGAAGAACGGCGTGATTAACGGGAAGGGCGCGTTGGTTTGGGCGAACGGGAACCGTTACGAGGGGCAGTGGGAGAACGGGGTGCCGAAGGGGCACGGCGTTATGAAGATTCAGCACCGTTTGCTTTGGGGCGAGAATTTGAACGGTGCGAGGAAACGGTCTTCGGTTGATGGGAGAGGGAGCGTTAATGAGAAGAGTTTCCCGAGGATTTGCATTTGGGAGTCGGAGGGTGAAGCGGGTGACATCACGTGTGATATAATCGATAATGTGGAGGCCTCAATGTTCTACCGCGACGGAACGACGTCGGATTGTGAAGATTCCAGGAGGAAAAGCCCCTGTTGTTTCTCCACCGAGGTTAAGAGACCTGGGGAAACAATTTCCAAGGGACATAAGAATTATGACTTGATGCTTAATTTGCAATTGGGGATAAGGTGAATAGCCACTACCACTACCACTAGGGCTTTTTTGCTTTTTGGTCTTGTTGTTTCTGTGTGATTAACTTTTCATTTGTGCAGGTACTCTGTTGGGAAGGAGGCTTCCACGCTGCGAGAGCTTAAGCAGACTGATTTTGATCCCAAGGAGAAGTTCTGGACTAGGTTTCCGCCCGAGGGGTCGAAGATTACGCCGCCACATCAATCTGTGGAGTTTCGATGGAAGGATTACTGTCCTGTGGTTTTCAGGTGTGGGATTTTTGGATGATGTGGTGTGTTGGTGAGTGGATTGGCGTGATGATGTTTTATTTTTGTTGACTGTGTTTTGGTTTGAATCTGTGTTGTAGGCATTTGCGGAAGCTGTTTCAGGTGGATCCTGCTGATTATATGTTGGCTATATGTGGGGATGATGCTCTGAGGGAGCTTTCGTCTCCTGGGAAGAGTGGAAGCATATTCTACTTGACCCAGGATGATAGATTCATGATAAAGACAGTGAAGAAATCTGAAGTCAAGGTAAGATACATGTGTTCAAAGGCTTGTAGAGTTTTGTCTTGTTAAATTCAGCAATAGCATGCTGAGAGTAGAATAATAGCATGGGCCATGGCCAAATGGATGGGCGATGTGGTTTTTCGTAAACGAGTCAACTTGGGTCTTGGAAGAGGGATTAATGATTGGTTATTTTTGTTGAATGCTTACCTTTTACATTGCTACTAGGAATCTCTGGCTTCTTACTTGTGTAGGTAGATGCTTGATTCTTGTATTTCAACTTTTAGGTGCTTATTCGGATGCTTCGGAGTTACTATCAACACGTATCCAGATATGAGAATTCATTTGTGACAAAATTCTATGGCGTGCACTGTGTCAAGCCAATTGGTGGCCAGAAGGTATGATTTGGTAGATATGTTCTAGCTGTTTGGAGGGGTTGCCCTATGCTTCTCAGTACTTGACTTTTGATTGTTTATTGAAAATCAGATCCGGTTCATTGTGATGGGCAATCTTTTCTGCTCTGAGTATCCAATTCATAGACGATTTGATTTGAAAGGATCTTCACATGGCCGCACCACGGATAAACCTGAGGAGGACATTGATGAAACTACCACCCTCAAGGACCTTGATCTCAACTTTGTGTTTCGTGTGCAAAGGAATTGGTTCCAGGAACTCATCAAGTAAGTTGATGTGCTACTTGTTTGTCCTATCTATAAACAGGGAAAACAATATACATTTATGCTGATATAGTATTTTGTGTTCAGGCAAATTGAGTTGGACTGCGAGTTCTTGGAAGCTGAGAAAATTATGGATTACAGTCTTTTGGTTGGCATTCATTTTCGTGATGATACCCCGTGTGACAAAATGGGATTGTCACCTTTTCTTTTACGCACTGGTATTGATCTACCATCTGCTTTGGTTCATATGGATGAGGGTTTATGTTACAAAAAAAATAATTTCGTGTGTTTTCCCCCTTAGGCAATCGGGATTCCTATCAGAATGAAAAGCTCATGCGTGGTTACCGCTTTCTTGAAGCAGAGCTACAGGATAGAGATCGAGTTAAATCTGGAAGGTATGTTGTGATATGTTCTAGTTCCTTACAATTAATGTTGAATTTTTTTTTTATTAAATTAGAAAATGATTGCATTGTAATAACACCTGCATTTTTTTTTTGTTTGGGATAAGACATATTCCCATAACCAGTTGGAATATTAACCATTGTGAAATGGGAACTTTCTGTTAGGGAGATGTACTGGTGCTCGAGCAGCATCGGTCCTACTCCTATCATAGTGAAAAATAATATATATGTATTATGTTATCTCTTGAAAACTTAAAGATGTTTTTGATCTGTACACCCTTGCAATTTTGAGTTACAAGTCTTTGATGGCATTAATGTTGAATATTTTCTTCATTTAAATTGGTATTTTTCATGATAATTATTGAAAGTAGTTTGCATTATTTTAGCAAGTCAGTGGGCATAGTATTGCAGGCAATAGTTGTTTGTGGGTCTCATGCAGGCTGTGGTCCCAATTTTTTTAATTCAAATGTCCAGTCTTCTAATTTATTTTTGGCCTGACAATAGTTTCATGGAGTCAATAATGATTGTTTCATATTTTCTCTGTATCTATCCAATACACCAGCTTATTCATACCAACACAATTCCAACGTCTAGTTATGTATGATTTGAAGATTGAGTTTTTTACTATTGGGTTACATTCCTAAACCATTATTCAAGGTTGCTGGCTTTTATGTCAATACAGATTTGCAAATTTTAAAACATGTATTAACTAGGATTCTTCTTGTTTCAGGAAATCATTAATTAGGCTAGGAGCCAATATGCCTGCAAGAGCAGAGCGAGTGGCCCGGAGGAGTGATTTTGATCAATACACCACTGCTGGAATCAGCCATTTGACCCCTTATCGCTGTGGGGAGACTTACGATGTCATTCTATATTTTGGAATCATTGACATTTTGCAAGATTATGATATCAGCAAGAAGCTTGAGCATGCTTACAAGTCCTTGCAAGTTGACCCTACTTCAATTTCTGCTGTTGATCCCAAGCTCTACTCAAAGAGGTTTCGTGATTTTGTAGGGAGAATATTCATTGAAGAGAGGTAGCAGATGAGTACAGAATGAGGCTGAAATATTTCTTCCTGAAGCTGATTATTCCTGGTGTTCCCAACATCTAGGAAAAGTTGCTTGAAATTTGAAACCCTTGACAAAGGTCTTGGAGTTGACTGGTTAAAATGCCACTCCACGTTCAAGTGGCTGACAGAACAGAAAATCGCTGGAATTGGGTTTGTTCTAAGGCTGACAGAAGATCAGCAGG